CGTCGTTCCTTTTCATGCGTTATCACGCCCGCCCTCCCGACAATATTTTCCGTCGCCTGCCCTGACACGTTAATGAAATAAAATTTCATATCCCCGTGAAATTAATTTCAATTCTTTCTTCTCCGCCGCAGTAGCGCGTCGAAATGAATTCATAGGCCGCGCCTGGTTTATAACGAATTTACGCACGATCGGTTTATTTCGCGGGGCCGGTCACCCGGCATATCGAATCCTCCCGATATAAATTGTCCGTCCGGGATACCGGCGCATAAATTCGCGGCCGGCCCCGTTAAACGTTTGCGTTACGCCGGCTGATTCACGCGATTGGATAAAAGTACAAACTATTACGTCGACGGATCGAAAGAGAAAGAGATAGAGCTAGAGGGGGAGTGAATTAAACTACTACTCCGATGACGGACGGTACAACGACGACGCGCACTGTCGGTCCGTGTAAAACGGGCACAAAGTGGACGGTTTCTGAAAAGATAATGGAGCAGACGGGATACGTGAATGTAAGTGGAGTTGCAGGAAAGCGTGTCGAGCATTGTTCCGCGTATTACACATTCCCTGTGTCGCGCGTCTTTAGAGGAAAAAAAAAACCCTCCTCCGCCTGCGTATCTCCTCCGTAAGGCAGATAGGTTGTGTACACGACGGAAGGCGGGCCCGGCCTTTCCCTATCTCTCCTTCCGTGATGCGAGTTTTGTGTTTACACCACGCGAAAGAAGAAAAGAAAAAAAGAAATATGCTAGGGGAAACTGATGCCGGTGCCGCGGCAGCACACAAGGTGAATAGGGGGATGCGCCTGGGTTTGGCTACCGTGTAACTGCTTACGAAAAAAAAAGAAATGAAGCGTCGAGCCAGGCCTTCGTGGATTCAATTCATCCGCGTAAAATAGAGATGGCAATCTCCTTTTGCGGCAACGGAATGTCGTCCAGCTTTTATCGTCCGTTGATACCGCGTGCTTGACGTTAAATGAATTAGAGATCGACGCGAAAAGGCGGCGGCCGTCTGCGGACGTTCCAGAGAAGGCGAACAGAAAAGTTTCGACTGAAGTTTATCTTGCGCGGGTGTAGAACAGCTCGAGATCCGACTTTTTAAACGATTTACTCTTCCAGCTACGGAGAAAGGGCCAGGGGAACTGGCTGGCAGGAGTTTAAATCGAAGACTGTATCTTCTACTTTCGGAAAACCTTCGAGAAATCGTAGTACCTTCCCTTCGCGTGTTTCTGAGTGAAATCAAATGAAGGAGAATAAAAAAGGCGTATATCTTAGATTGCATCTGATTCTGTTGAGAGATGAGAAACTAAACTAGTTGGGCAACTGAATGCGATAGAATTGACTCTTTTGGAGCGCATCAAGGAAAAATCAAATTATAATTTATCAGGCACGTCGGTTTTTAAGTGTCAAGTAGCAGAGTTGAAGCGGAAACTGAATGAAATTCCGTTGGCCCACGGTACACTTGAAGAATTTAAAGGCCCCTCGTAATTAAAACTGATTTATAATACCTTTTTAAGGAAAACCTCGATTGCTGGTCTGTAAATTATCTGCTGGCATCGCAGTCGCAATTTTCTCAACCGTGGAAAACGATCTCCGAGCCGGGCTGATTATTAAGCCAGCCTCTACCCAGCGACAATGGCGGTGCTAATAATTACTGTTTACAATTGATATTGAGCAGAGCGTCAATGTGCTCCGGACTCGCCAACCGTGCACTTTTTCTCCATAGATCCACGATGCCTCTTTTCACGTACAGCCATTGGCGGATGGATACAAAAGGGACGGGAATGAAAGTAGTTTACAGAAATGCTTCCTCCGTCAGGGTCAATTTACGCGAAACACCGCGACGACGGGGTGAGAGTCCGTCCGTGTCTCCATCCCCGAGTCTCTTTATTCACGGTTGGCGAAATGAGGTTCGCTCGAAGGAAATTCTTTCTGTCCCCGACACCGTTGTGCGAATATGAACCTCTGATGCGGTCAGCCGCGTTAATTAAGTACTCCCATTTTATCTTGGCGGTAATTAATTCTCGTTTTCCTCCGATCTTGCGTATGTATTCATTTACACTGTACACCATTGTACCCCGCATGATTCTTGTCTTGAAACAAAACCGAACAATCCGAGCGATAAAATCATTACATTGTTCCTCGAATTACGGTTACCGCCCGTCGATCCCAGATATTCGTCGAAATAACTGTTCACGTTTTTCCCACACCGCGAACGACGTAGAGAGAAAGAGAGACAAACGCCTGTTTTTGACATCCCCGGGGCTTTCGTGGGCGAGGACTTTTCGTCGCTGGGAAATACGATTTCACGCGAGTGAAACGCGTCCCGTCGAATTATACCGTGAAACGGTGCGCACCGTGTCATCGATGTCGCTATCGATCATGCCGGGCTACCGGTGGCAATCGATTCTTTTTTTCATTTTTTTTTTTTTTTTCGTCACCGGCGACAATTTATAAGATTGCCGTGCAACCGGGAAACATTTTGCGAGCGAACCGAATGGAAAACTCGCGATGGCAATTTCACCGTGTTTGGTGCAAGAGGGCGAGAAGGGGTACGGGCACGAGAGGGATGTTTGCAGTGGTCGGCTGCGAAATTTCAATTACGCGTGTACCCGGGACTGATTCGATTATCGGGGACCGGCTTGATTACCGATTCAATTGTTGCAACGAGTGCACCGAGAAATTTGTTCCTATTTGCGCTAAAGCGCGGCCGACGCATCTATTATGCAGCACGATCCTCTCGGACCCTGCGCTTGTTCGCACTCCCTGACACCTTTCCCCGTATTACAACCGTCGCGTCGCTCTATCACACGGACATCCCGTGTAATTTTCTCTTCCACCCAGCATTCCGCGTCTCTCTTTTCGTTCCCCCCTGTTCTTCCCCCCCACCACACGCAACTTTTATTCTCTCCCGTTCTCGATGCACCGTGTTTCCGAGGGCGTTAAACGACATAATGCGGCAATTTTGTTAGGCGCTCGCTACGGATTCGCGGAGGTGCGAATGATGGCGGGGCTCTTATCCTAGAGGGCCATTAAGTGATCTTTCCCCGATTATTACAGCCCCGCAGCTTGGGATTCCATTTCAACGGCGGAGAAAACTGGCTGCATTATTAAACGTCGGGAAATCCACGACTGGTTGCGCCGGAAGTGACACTTTTACGCCAGCTAATGCGCCATATTATATGGGACCGTGTAGGTACGATTCGAGGTAACAGCGAATTTTCGCGGCACCGTTAGCACGGATCGTTTTGCAGAAAACGCGTCGCTTTGGGTGGAGGGGGGCAAGTGGAGGGAATTTTTTCTTGTTTAATGTGGGTGCTATTATAGCGACTCTGTGGCGACTTAATCGTTGCGTTTAAATGAACTTGTTTTAACTCACTGACTTTCAATGCATATGTACTTTATAATTATATGGATAAAACGTTATCACGGTATCGTCCGCGCACCCCACTCTGTCGTCCAACATACCCAGGACGGAATATATATAGTGTTGCGTTTAACTCGCATATTTGTCATCACAGAAATGTGGTATATATAATATTGATTTAATAAAGTGTTTGAATACTCAATAACTTTTGTGAATAAACATTTTCTGAAGATAGTAAGGTGATCAAAAAGTTCGTAGGTCCAGCCCACCCTATATTTAGCTCACGTCGAACAAGTGAACGGACAATCGGTGGGGAGAGTGCGCGTATAATTGGAGCCCGTTAATTGATCAGTTCCTGTAAATTTGGCCCTCTACAGCACTAAAATTATGAAGTATCGAGCTTCTACTGTGTATGAATAACAAGTTATCATGGTATTGATACGTATCTTTTAAACAAATGATGAGAAGTATTTATAGTTGCTTGTATTTGTCGAAATTTGGTGTAGAGACTGAAATATGCAAAGAAATTAAAGTCAAGAATGGATAATAATCAAATTTGGATTTATCGATGTATTTATCGTTCGATCGATATCAAGATCGTTAGACCAACGATCGATAGCGCACCAACGGAGCAGCGTGTCTGCCTTACCATCGACCGATTATTCAGAAAAGTTTCACCGTGGATCGATAAATCCTCTCAGAGGCACTCCTGGCACAGCCGTCTGTGCTTCTGATATATACACCTGTAATTCATCATTTCAACCGCGTAACACAGCGATACCGCGGAGCAAGTTAAATGGGAAACATAGAAAGTTAAGGCGCATCCCCCCAACCGGAATGGCAACGGTATCCGACATTACAAATTCCGAGCAGACTCGAGGCCAGATTCCAGGATAATTGCGCTCCGTGGGATCGAAAAATGGATGTCCTCGTGGATCCATTCCCGACGAAATAAAATTGTCAAAGAAAAATCACTTTGTAGATCCACGTTACGAATCACAAGAGCCATGTATCACTGCAATGGCTACATCCTTATCAAACGGAAGAACGAACATCAAATACAGACACGAGAAACAAGCACTTGGTCTATTAAGAGCTATATCTTATTGGGTACATTGTCCCCGGTCTGAACCCAAGCAGAATACCTTCCCGCCATCACCATGAAATTGAACCGAAAATACAATCTGCCAGCGGCAGCAGCAATGGCAACGGAAATCGGAGTTCAAGCGTCTAAATCGCGACGTGATCCGGCGGAAACTCCGGCGGAGAAATCACGGGCGGATCGCGTAGCAAAAGGGAGCGAAAGAGGGCTGAGGTTGCACAGCGACGCAAATAAAAGGACGATCTCATTTTGCCGGGGAAAACTAGGAAGCACCGCATTGCGGCAATATCGTGCGACCGAGCAAAACCACCGGGAACCTGGTATCTCGAAAACAAGGGGGGTAGGTAGCCAAGTAGGCAGAGAAACGGGGAGAGTAGACAAGAGAGAAACAGAGATAGAGACAAAGCTAGCAAGTGGGTCTTGCCTTTGGTACGATTTAAGAAGAACAAAAGGAGGAATGTGGATAAACAGACAGGAGAGTAGACAGGGTAGAAGCAGGCGAAAATGTCGAGGGGCAGAGGGAGGAGTGATCGCGTGGATCGAGAAAGAGAACCAAGAGTAGACGAGCATTCGCGTGCTAGCTGGAATGAGCCAGCACCGTGTATCCTTTTTGATCGTGTGATCGGTGTGCTCCAGAGAGGATCTGGCAACAACGGCCGGAGGAGTGATCTTGCAGGAGCATTGGCCACGCGAGAACGAGACGGGTGGAAAGGAAACGACGTAGGTGGAAAGAGGCCCGAGCACACCTGAACGGGTAACGGAGAGAAACGAGAGAGGAGAAGGGTCGACACGGCGCGGCGACGGGACAGAAGAGGCAGAGCCGAGGCGGTCCAGCTCTCGTAAAACTCGTCTCTCGTACTCGAGAAATAGCTTCTACGGTGAACTTGGAAACTTCCGCGGCCGAGACGAGTACCCCAGCCGCGAACCCGCCAGTTTTCCTTCAGTTTTTCGGTGCCCGTTTCCGCACCTCTCGATGTGTGTCGTTTCGCGGTGAATCTCGCGGGAGCACGTTTGTGTTGTAGAACAACCAAAGGGGGAACGGGGAAGAGACCCAGGACGGGAGCCGGTTACTACAGCGACACGGGGAACTTCGTGGAAACAATGTCTCTCGCTCCCGTGGGAGCGTAGGACGACGCGCGTGGATCGACTCGGAAAATGCAGTGTTTCGCGTGCGAAAATAATACTCGTCCACGTGTGCCTAGGAAACATCGTTCTAGCACGCCGTTTCGGTTCGTTTAGTCAACCAGCTCACCACCGAATTATTCCTCGCTGATTCGTTCGTTCTCCTCGTTTGGGGCCGGTACTACGAAGGTGAGATAGCTGCGCGATTCTAACGTATGATTTCGCGCTCCACCAGGTGAGCTTCTTCACGCAAGACGATTGTTTTCCCCGTGAAATCGTTGGAACAACCTAGTGTTCCGTTACAGAAATTTCGTACGATTCAATGCCGCGCAGCGTGTTTGTTTATTCGAAGGACGATATCGAACCGCGACGGGAAGCCAATACGAGCACGGAAATTCATAAACAAATATCCGCGAGCATTCGCAGTCCGATGTTCGTACGAGATCGAATTACCGAGTGATTTTTCCCGACGAACGTACGTTCGAGGATAATGTAATCGAATGATTTCGAATATTTCGGCGTTCGGAATACACGGTTTATTGAAATTCGAAACTGGCCTGAAATAACACGATATACGGTATATAAGACCGTAGTGAAATCGCGATATTCCGTGTTATATTTAATTCAAGTGACAAACGTTCAATTTCCCGCACGAACCGATAGAATCCGCGGTGGTGAATTCGAACCGGGGCTCACACCGATGTGTCCGGGCAGTCGACGAATTTTTTTCGCGGCGACTTGCTCAACCGGGTAGCAAACAAAACCTTCGTCTGACGGATGGCTTTTTAATCGAATCACCGGGCCTGGAATGCGAGAACGCGATGGAGCGAGGAAATTCTGGGGGGCAAATGACCGGCAAATCGCGATCGCTGATCCTCACTCATCCCCGATACCCGCGTGCCTCGTAATCGACGTGTGACGCGTTCGCAAAACTACAAAACCCGAACTAATTAAAAGGGAATCAGTCGGAGCCGCCGTGACACAAAATCTACGGCGTCAATCGACCGGCCGTGGCGGGTGCCAGAGAGCAACAAAGAGAGAAAGAGAGAGAAAGAGGTCGCGTCGCGACGCGGTGCAAATCAAATATTAATCGTGCAATTAGCACCGATTGTGCGGTAATCGGTTTTGCTTTTTTATTTCTCGCCCTCGCAAGCCTCGCCCGTCGTGACACAAGCGCGCGGATGCGACTGGAAAATGATCGAGACGATGACACAGGTCCGCCATTCCTAAATTTCGGATTAACATGCATTGCTTCGACTATCAACCGGCAGGCTGACGTTCGATGATGGTGTTGCTGTTAGGGAAAGGAAAATCTTCGCGTGTACCGGGTTGTTCGGGAATAATTGCTTATTTAATGTTGTCAAAAGTTGTGATGTAAGAAGAAGAATTAGAATTAGAAGCTGTGGAGGTTGTCTTAATACTGATACAACAGACATTATTATACTAGTATTTTAAAGGATTTTCATTCATTTTTTTGAATTCAGTATTCAGTATGAGAGACCATAACCTAAATTTCTATCGATAAGTTTCTAGGGGTTGATATAAAGTCTTTAATACGCCGAAGACTCTGACAAATGAAGTATTTGTAGGGAGGGGGTTGAACGGTATCCGAGGTTGCCTTAACACTGATACAACAGAGATTATTACACAAATAATTAACAGATTTTCTGTTAATTTTTCCGAATTAATTATTCAATTTGAGAGAACCTAAATCAAATCTCTATGAATAAATTTCCAGGGGATGCTATGAAAACTCTGTATTGGTTCTGCTATTATTACAGTCTAGCGGTGTCCACGTCTTTCTCCAATCAATTAATTGTTTCACTTTTGACGCAGTTGGTGATTTTCGATTGGAACGTGATGGGGACCAGAGCGGTCGCAGTTGGCGCAGCACCAGGTGCGGCGGGGGTGCCGGGCGAGGCTGGTTTAGCCGGTGTACCCAGACTCCTGGAGGACCTGGCTCGACTATCGGAGGACAAAGATACAGCTGACATCGTCTTTCTGCTGGGTCGTGACGAGTCACCGATCTACGCTCACAGAATTATACTCCAGGCGAGGTCAGTATTTCACCGATTCGAATTGTTTCGTTCGCAGGGAAGCATTTCGAATCAATTTGAATTAATTATTACATATTTGTGCGACGACATTTTACGAACGCTTCGTCGGAAGGGTTGACAATTAGACAATTTATATTATTCTCATTTCCAACCGATATCTCTCATGCGTCTCCAGGGAAGCGAGCAAATTTTTCGCGAGCGGAACAAGCGATCCCAGATATTGTATTGAGCGAACCGTCTCCCCGTGCACCATGAAATAAGATCAATTCAGAATCGTAATTTCTATTAAAACAGCAGACGCAGTACCGTCGATCGATCCGCAACGAGTCGAATTCCCCCGGGGACTCGAAACGATCCGAAAACACGCGAGAAATCACGCGGAGATTAATGTCGGGAAACAGGCGCATGTATTTACTACAGCAGGAGATATTATATTTCGAGATACAAGTGCTCGCATGCTTCCATCGTGCACCCAACGAAAAATAAAATACGACTTGGCACACCCGAGACAATGGGTCTCACCACTTCCGTAAAAATGGAGAATTAACGCAAGAACGTGGAATATTATTCCATCTTATCCCCCCGATATTCCACTTTTTCCACCCCCCTCGCAACTAAAATAAAAACGTAGTTGGGATATAAATCGTAGACGTAACGAATCGAGTCTACGAAAAATATCTTTCGGTTCATGAGAGACCAGGGCTCGGCTTAAGTCCCGCCGGAACTTACTTTGCTGGTAACTGCGTTACGAACTTTTCTCCTCTGTGCGGAACCCAACGACGAAAAAAAGGAATGCTCGGGCTAACTTTCCACGGGGAATTGCAAACGAACCCAACGGGAGGGAAATGATAACTTCGTTAAAATCTTGAAGTCAACGACGTACCTCTACATAATTCACCTGTTCCACGGAGACGGTCGGTTTCGAAAGAAAGGGGCAAATGCACGCGCCCCCGCCTCGATTTTCTTCAATTCGCGAGACAATGTTCGACGAGCTAAATAGAAAAATTCATGGATCGAGCGAACGATTTCACGGGTAGGAAAAAAGAAATTATCGCGAAGTCATCGAAGTTTCTTGGCGGAATAGGGTGGCGAAGCTCGCGGCAGCGATGAATTTTAATTAAGGGTCGCTCCGATTGTTACGGCGAAATGAATCGATCGAACGTTCTAATTAGTTGGACAATAAGGGGAGGAGTGGCACTCTTCGACGATTCACCAACCGGCGCGTTTTCATCGGGTGAATTCTAATTGTTGTAAGAAGGGAGGCTCCGGGCTGTGGGTATTAGAGGGGGTCAGAGCGTCCTCG